CAAATATACATGAACTATGTTTCTGTATAATTCACTTAAAATATGGCCTAATGTTTTTATAGTTTATTTAATATGTCTAATTATATATGATAAATAGTATATTAAATGACTGCAATCTTTTAAACTAAGTAAATATGATAATAAAATACAATAATAAACTATTTTATTTGTTTAACTTTTGTTATTTCACAATACAGAAAGACATAACTGTATCTCTAAATCAAAAGAAAAAGCTGGATTTTGGTTTGTAAGAGAAGGCAGGTTCTCCATTTTCTAAAAAGGAGAGATATGCATATATAAAACAAAAGAAAGAAAGCAGAATAAGAAGAAAAAAAAAAAAGGGGGGGGGGGGGGGGGGGGGGGGGGGGGGTCCAAGTAGTAATAAGTCCGCAAACCATATAATAAATTAATAATGGTCGACATATATAAAAATTCGGTCATATACTCAAATTTGAGTTCATGAGATAATATTAAATAAGATTTATTATAAAATTATGTTAAAAGTTTTAGATACATGTTTATTAAAAAAATAATAAGATAGAACTTAAAAAGTTGTTCGTTTTTCACTTTGTTTATATATAAATATAAATATTTAAACGTCATTTAGTTTAATACCGTTTGTTTGTAAAAGAGATATATCTTTATCATATATTTTTGGAGGTTTTTGTGTTTGTTATTAGTTCAATCATTTTTTTAAAACATGCCCCATCAATTTTAAGTATATAGGATTCTTAAGACTTACTTTATTTTAGACTCTTTAATCTTAAATAACCATTATTGTGTTTATTATTTAAATTAAACTTTGTATCTTAACGAGTAAACATAAACATTTAAAGAAGTTTATTTAAACCCAAAAGGTTAAATGAAACCGGGGTGAGCATATGGACCATTTTTTTTAACCTTTTGGTATATACCCTCTAGAGGTTAAGTGGTTCCTTAAGGATGCTAATTCGGTTCTGGGTACTTTGGATCCGACACCACCAGTTCGCGGGTAAAATTTGGTATTGAATTGGAATTTGAAGGGACAATACTTAAACCCCGATAATTCAATTCCACAATTATCTTTTAAAACACAAAATCCATACTCATCCTGCCATCTACCATCGACGGATGTTCTAGCTTCCCAAACCCCAAAAATTCGATTATCTCAAATAAATCAACAAAAACTTGTACGTAGGGTTAAGTTTCTTCACCCAATTCTTGAGCATTAATGGAAAAATAAGTTTCTTATTAGTCAAAATTGATAAACTAATTTTATAACCAAATTAATAAGTATGGTGTGATGTTTAGAATAAAATGTTAAACTGTGAAATGCTTAAGATCTTAAAATAAAGATCCTGGGAAAAAACAATGATATTCAGAAAACTGTTTGATGATGTCATTTTGCTTCAAAATGTGAATAAGTATATTTGAAATAATTTGGATAAAAATAGTGTTAAAGATGTGAAATTGGTGAAGTCAAAGAATAAATCTTAAGATGTTCAAAAAATGACCAAGATATCACATGGTAGGGATAATGACTTAAAAGGGTAATATATTTTTCGATTTGTACACATTTGGTCACTGAGTTTTTTTTTCGTCCACATTTACCCCTTCAACTTGTTAAACTGTACACATTCAGTCATTATGACCGGTTACTCTAGGTTAGCCGAAAAACATGACTTAATAAGGTAATATATTTTTCATTTTGTACACATTTAGTCCTTAATATTTTTGTACAAATTTAGTCCTTAATATTTTTTGTTTCAAAATAAATCATTTTTGTTTTTGTACTCATTCAGTACTTATGAATGATTTCATTAGGTTTTTCTCATGACATCTTACGTGTTACAATCATTGATGATGTGTTTGGGGTTGTTGATGTTTATGTCCATCGCGATCTCGACTGCTTGGTTGCGTATGTCTTATGGTTTAGCTTAGGTCGTGTGTTCTGAACGACCTAACTTTTTCATACGATATCATATTTTAACGATCTTTATATCCATGTGTTCGTTTTTTGAGTCTACTATAACTTTCGTTAAGATTACTCCCGTTAAAATGTAATATATTTTTATTTACGATTTTATAAAAAAAAACATTCATACATGTATTCATAAAAAAATGTATGGATATAAAGATCGTAAGTAAAAATATATTATTTTTAACGGGAAACGAAAGTTGTAGTAGACTAAAATATGAACGTATGGATATAAAGATCATTAAAACCTGAGATCGTATGAAGAAGTTATGACGTTCAGAACACATTACCTAAGCAATCAAGTAGTCGAGATCGCGATGAACATAAGCATCAAAAGCCCCAAAACATCTCATTAATGATTGCCCCACGTAAGATGTCGTGAGAAAAACCTAAAGAAATCATTCATAAATACTGAGTACAAAAACAAAAATGACTTATTTTACAACAAAAAAAAATATTAAGGACTAAATGTATACAAAAATATTAAGGACTAAATGTGTACAAATGAGAAATATATTACCCTATTAATTCATTTTTACCGGCTAACCTGGAGTAGCCGGTCATAAGGACTGAATGTGTACAGTTTAACAAGTTTAAGGGGTAAATGTGGACGAAAAAAAAACTCAGTGACCAAATGTGTACAAATCGAAAAATATATTACCCTTTTAAGTCATTATCCCCACATGGTATTTTGAAGTTGTGTTTAAATAAATGATACTATAATTGAATAAATGTTTCTGAAAAAGTTTGTAAGTGTAGAAATGGATCAAACCACGAATAATAAATAAAAGTAAGTGCCAGAACACAAGAAGATACAAGGAAAACCCTTAATCTTTTTGGATCTTCGACATAAAACATCGAGAGGTGATGAAATCACCTGCCTTAGAACTTAAATTTATAAAAATTGGATTTACAGGTGTAAGTTGATCGTGTTGTAAGTGTAATAGAGCTCGAGTGTATTCAGAAAGAATGTGAGAGTGGAAGTGATAATGTGTCTGTGGATAGAAGATCAACTAGACTTTTATACAAGTGCATGCAACAAACATTCCTAAATTCTAGGGATCTTCCTTGATTCATGCTTGACCCGAAACTTTAGAATGATTTCAACGTATTTATGATTTGACTACGTTCCTTTGACCTGGTCTCTTCCTTTCTGATCAAGTCCTTAAGTCATGCATAAAAGATAACAAGAAACACAATGGCAGCCCCAAGATATTGACTAAATCCAAAATCTTGGTCTACCTAGGATGTTAGTACAAGTTCAAGATATAGAAAGATAAAAAGTTATACCCATAACACATATATCGAATATACTCAAGTAAATGTCCTAATGATGTCTATTATTCTAGTAATTATACTTGTAATGGTATATTGTTTTGCTTATGTCCATCATATGTAACTTTAGTTGTAATGGTGTATTGTTTATGTTGGAAATTAGTATAAGCTATTTGTATTTATGCCTAGGATGATGAATGAAAATGTATCTATTATTTAATTATAATGTAATGTTGTATTGTTTATGTTTAGAATGATGATGATATATTCGTTGGGAATACTTAAAAAGAAAACCATGTGGAACAAATGAATAAAAGAAAATGGCAACCTAATGAATAGAAGGAGATGGTCGATTGTTGGAAGTACTTTGTTGTGGTCTGCTTAGAAAACAAACAAGTATGGCTTACACAGAAGAATTGAAAATGAAAGTTTTGCTCCACGATTCCTAGAGTTGCAATGCGAAAAAATTGTATTTTTAGCTTTAAAAACATTATCCTAATTGCGATAAGAATTCGAAAGATGCTATGAAACAACAAAGTACATTACAATTTAAGAAACACGCTAGTGGGGATGGAAGTGTAACTAGATGTAAGCATGATGACAAAAAGATTAAAAAAAAATTATTAAATTTGTTTGGTGTAGATGAATTACCATTTAAATTTGTTGAAAAAAAGAAGCTTTTATCGAGTATACCAGTGCACTAAATGAGAATGTTAGTTTGACATCACGACATAAAATTAATAATGATGGTTATTGGGTTATGTACAAAAGAATTATTAATGTTAGACCCATTGATAATCATAAAGGAATGACGTGGGGTGTGAGTTATTAGATTGCATACATGGTTGGAGGGATTAAGAATGTTATGAGTACGACGTTTGACAATTCATCTTCAAATGATAATGTAATTGAGTTTTTGATAAAAAAATTGTCAACTATGTATGATGACAAAAAACATTTTCAAATAAGGTACCTGACTTGTATTTTGAATCTTTTGTCAAAGTGTGGTTAAAAAAGAACAATTATCATGTAGAATGTGTGCAAAGGCGGGAAGATATGTAAGACACTCACCACAAAGAATCACAAAATTTTAAAAATACGTGAAAGAATATAAAGCAAAATCGGAAAAACAAAAATTATATGTTATTTATCTTACTAGGTGAAACTCAACTTATGAGTTGTTGAAAATCGTTGTTGACTTCAGATAAGTTTATATCATGTATGAAGTTGAAGGTAAACTTTTGGGTTTTTGACACTGTAGCACATCAATGTTTGGTCATTTTGCACATTTAGTCACTAAAGTTTTTTTGTGCTCAATTGATCCTTAATGTTAGTAACTACCGGCTAATTACCCCCTTATGCACCCGGTAAACGGAACAACCGGTGATATTGCTTACGTGGAATAAGTTTACATAATATAATTCATTTATTTTATCCATGTAGGATTTAGAGGTCAAAATAAACACATTTATTTAGCCAGAACACTCCTTCTTCGTTCTTTCTTTTTCTCATCTTACAGTGAATACGAAGCACTAAACCTAGGGTTCGAAGTCGTTTTATCCGATCGAAGTCAGTGAGCAGTCAACCAACCCACAATGTCTAGCTCGACGCCAAACCCTGATGGACTCCACCCTATAGTGGAGCTGAACTTCAAAGGGTTTTTCTTAGAAATCCTTTCTCGTATAACCATGGTATCAATTTCACTTTCAATGATCACGATTTTTCTGGAATGACATACGGTGAATGTATCACCTTTCTCGAACGGTTCATGCAAGAAAGTATAAAGAAGTTATACTATTGTGAACCAGGTAAGCCCTTAATATCTGGGATAACTGCTATCGCTAATGATGAAGACTATGGTGGTTTCATTTTTCAAGCATATGGGACAGATGGTAAAATTTGTATGTATGTGGACCATGATGGTCAAGGAATAGAAGATTGGTTTGGTTCTGAAATAGAAGAGGAGGATGGAGATGATTCTTGCATTGATGGTGGTGAGAATGAGGACGAAATTGATAACCTAACAGATGTGGATGTGGACTTTAATGAGGACATAGTCGCTATGAATAGGACAAAGGGTGATGAATTTCTAAATAGATTATGTGGCGAAGAGGAAGAGGGAAATGATAACAACATAGATGATGATGATGGGCATGAAGAGGATGCCAATGTAACTCAACAACATTCCATTTTTAATGAGTTAGTTCCATGGAAAAAGCAGATCCCAATACTTGGTATGAGGTTCAAAGATCCATCTCAGTTAAAATCAATGTTATGCAACTATGCTGTTGCGAATGGGTACCAACTTTGCTTTGAGAAAAATGATAGGAAAAGATTGGTTGTTAAGTGTTGCAAGGGTGAGTGCTCATTCAGGTTGTGGGCATCTTGGATGAGCGATGAATCAAGCTTCCAAATTAAGTCTTTAAAGCCAGTCCACAAATGTGCAAGGAACTACAAGTTAGGGTCCATGGTCACTTATGCTTGGATAGGGAGTCATTATACAAGAGAGTTCTTACTTAGACAAAAGATGAGTGTTAGAAAGCTAAGAACAGCTGTGTCACAGAAGTTTGGTATTCATGTTAGTGTTGGTCAATGCAGGAGAGCTAAGAAATATGCACTCCAACTAATAGATGGTACCCTAGTTGAACATTATGCAAAGTTATGGTCGTATGCAGAAGAGATTAGGAGATCAAATCCAGGTAGCACTGTGAAGCTTGATGTAAATCATATGCCAGATGGGAAGAACTACTTTAGTAAGTTCTATGTTTGCTTTGATGCATTGAAGAAGGGGTGGAAGGAGGGATGCAGGAAGATAATAGGTTTAGATGGTTGTTTCCTTAAAGGGATCTGCAAAGGGGAGTTATTATGTGCTATTGGAAGGGATGCAAACAATGGGATTTATCCTATTGCATTGGCAGTAGTATGTGTGGAGAATAAGGAAAATTGGAGGTGGTTTTTGGATTTACTCATTGATGACTTGGGACTTAACTTGGGCTATGGATACAGTGTAATATTGGATCAACACAAGGTAATTTAATTGTTTGTAATTAATTTTCCTATCTATTTGCATCCTTATTCACTATATTTGGAATTTGTTAACAGGGTTTGATTGAGGCTGTGAAAGAACTCCTTCCATATGTAGAGCATAGGCAGTGTGCCAAGCATATTAGCCAAAACCTTAGGAAAAGGTATAGTGGTGCCCAATATGAAAGCATATTCTGGAAGGCATGTAAAGCAACAACAGAGGTAGATTTTAAGGTTGCCATGAAAGAGCTTGAAGTGCTAGACCCAAGTGCTCATTAGTATCTGATGGACAAAGACCCCAAAACATGGTCAAGGGCCTACTTCCAACCAGGAAGATGTTGTGATAATGTGGAGAATGGAATGTCAGAAAGTTTTAATGTTGTGATTGTTGATGCTAGGAAGAAACCAATTATCACCATGCTAGAGGAGTTGAGGATGTATATGATGGAGAGGGCGATCAAGAAGAAATGCAAGGGTCTAGGATGGGGCAACCAAATTTGTCCAACAATTAGAGAAATAGTGATTTGACATTAAGAAGGGTCTAAGACATTACCAAGTCTTACCTAGTGGACTAAATCAGTTTGAAGTAAGAGGAACTACAGATGCTTATGAAGTGGATCTTGAAGAAAGAACTTGCTCATGCAGGCTTTGGCAGCTTAATGGAATCGGTTGTGTCCATTCTGTTGCAGCTATTAGTTTTATGAATAGGGATGTAGATTCATATGTGGACAAAATGTTTAGTAGCATCACTTACATGAAGGTATACAAGTTTAGGTTAGCACCTATGAATGGAAGTAATTTGTGGCCTGCAACTGATTACACCCCACCTTTACCTCCTGTTCGTAGAACTATGCCTGGGAGACCTGCAACTAAAAGGAAAAGGGATGCAGCAGAAACCCCAAACCAGTCAAGTAAAAAATCAAAGAAAACTACCCAAACACGAAACAAAGGTAAGGAGCAGGTGAAGGTATCCAAGGCTGGGAAAAAAAACAAAAATGTAGCCTTTGTAAGATTGAAGGACACAACAAAAGAGCTTGTACTTTAACAAGGCCTCCTAAAACCAAAGCTAGTAGAAAAACAAAACAGGTAAATAAGTATTTAAATGGTTAATATTTACAATTTCTTTTTAAATTTCTAATAATGTTTCATATTGGTCAATCAGGGTGTAGCTGAAGCACTCAATGAGGATGATGAAGGCAATCAAGCTAATGCAGTCAATGATGGAGGAGCAGTAAATGATGGTGGAGAAGCAGTCAATGAGGTGCATGTGCAACAAGACTATGATGAGGTGGAACTCACTCCTTTGGAGTTTGATGCATCAGCAAATGGAGAACCTAGTCAGGTTCATGTGCAAGAACAGGAGGCTAGAGAAACACCACTTGCAACCCTGTTGAAGAAAATCAGGAGGAAGATATTTGAAAGGATTATCAAGTTGACGCTGGGCAAGAAAGTTGGTGGTGCAGATGCACCTGGGAATTCAGAAGCTAAACCTGTTACTCTAGAATAACTTTAAGTGTTGGTTTATGTGATATGAACATGGTATGTAGTGTGAAATGATGTGTTTTGGTGTATTGTTGCTGTTTTTATGAAACTGCTATTAACTATGCTAGTTTGTATGAAACTATGTTGGTTTATGTGATGTGTATTTTGTGTTACTTAAGTTGATTGTTATTTTGAGCTTTTTGTTGTGTTAATTTGAAGTTGCATGCATGGCAAGGACTTGTCTGGTTAAACTGCATGGCAAGGGAATATATTTGCATATATAGATAATTTAAAATTTAAAATTATGATTGATTATGTCCTTATATACCACGTGTGGTCAGTGGTCCATATACCCTTACTAACCCTTACTTTTTCATATATACCCCTGCACAGAACTCTAAACACAATGCACTTTTAAATGGACCAAGTGAGTTCCTTATGGCCGAAAATGTGGTACCCACACTTTAATTTTTAAAAGGAGCACATGCATATTATAAAATTCAGCAAGGTATATCATAACTAGGATCTTTCATATCATTCATTGAATCAACACAAAGTCATTACAATTGCTCCCATGTACTGCCATCCCATTACATCTACATTCCATTACATCTAACATCCCATACACACACTGATCAAACAAGCATTCAACCAAAAACCTGACTATACATTACAACTAGGATCTAACCATGACCATACACCCATACACCCATACACTTCCCAAAAAAGCAAATAACTTTTAACATCCACCCATACACTTTCCAAAAAACTGGTTGGAATTATATACCATCAACCATAAACACCTATTTGTTCTGCTGCACTTTTCAAGTCCATTTCAACTACATGGCAATGACTACAATTACCATAACAAAGATCCCACAATTCAACATTCTGTTTTGATTCGTCAACTCCATCAACTGTGTCTCAAACACTTGCTTATCTGCTTCCATAGCTTGCTGCAGCTTAACCAACTTCTTTTGAACCTTCGAAACTTCACTAAACTCTTATTTCCTTTTCAGCTCAAACCTCATCTTGCGAAGCTGTTCTTTGTAGTAACCCTCCTCCATTTCTTTGTCTTTCCACATAAAGAACTTGCATTTTGGACCTTCAGCTGACTGATTAAAAGGGAAAACCAGAGTTAGGGTTAGGGTTGCAATTAATGAAAATGTGTACATTTCCAGCTCAAAATAACAAATACGGTGTAAGTAAACAAAAGGAATACACCAAAGAGTTTTTGCAGTTCCAAAACCTGCGAGCTACATTATCGTCGGTCAAGGCAGTCCTTTCCATGCTTATTGCGTCTTGACAATCGCAAGGTGGACAGGGGTCATCATCACGAAGGTTTCCGACACGCAGGAGGTTGATTGATCGACTGGAAGAGGCAGACATTGTTCTGGTTATATCGATTGAGTGTAGAGTTTCGGGAGGGAGGCACTGACCTAATTTGGGGTAACAATGTATCCTCGATGGTTCAATATAAGGTTCAATTAAGGAAGGTTTCCACGTTAAAGATGACATGGTCAAATGCTTGTCCACATAAGCCAATACACGTCAGCGATGACCCTTAAACCGGTAATATTTGCTCCCATTCCTTTAACTAGCCGGTAGTTACTAACATTAAGGATCAATTGAGCACAAAAAAAACTTTAGTGACTAAATGTGCAAATTGACCAAACATTGATGTGCTACAGTGTCAAAAACCCTAAACTTTTTACTTTTATTTTTATTTTGTTGATTTTTTTTTAAAGTTCGAGTTATATGTGTTTTTTTGGTGTTAAATATGTTGTTTGGATGTGATCTAGATAGAGCCACCTAACATCTAGATTTTGGTGTTTGCAAATATGTCGTTGATTTTCTTATAAAAATTAAGACTAAAACGGAGTTTGTGTCTTTGAAACCGTTAGCACATCGTTCTTTTGAGAAATTTTAGATGTCGATAAACGTTTATGGGATTAAGCAACAAAATCACATTTTTGTTTAATGGGTACACAAATACGCCTCAATATGACAAGTATTTAAGAAATTTTTAACAATCTAAACGACTTCATGTACTTTGTGGTTTTATTAGAGTCGACAATGGAATTCACGTTTATTAGAAAGGGAAAACTGCAATAAATTCCGTACATATTGACCTCATAATCGATTTAGTCCCTATATATTTTTTTTATTCAATTAAGTCTCAAATACCGGTAATCGTATTCAATTTAACCTTTTGACCCGGTCAACAGGTCATCCAACTTTCAAAAATTACATTTTTGGCCCAGATTTCAAATTTTATTACAAATTTGGTTCAAAATTTACACTTTTGGCCCAGATTTTAAATTTTGTTACAAATTTGGTCCAAACTTTACCCTTTTTGCCCAAATTTTAGAATTTTATTATGAATTCGTCCTAAATTTAGTTTTTTTACAACTTTTTTTTCTCAAAGAATTGTTTCTAATATGTTTTTTCTTTATAAAATCATATTTATACAAAAAAAACGTATTTTCACATAAAAATCTTATATTTTCTATATAAAAACGTTTTTTAAAAAGTTTATTATGTATGAAATGATCTAGTTATAAAATAGGTATTTATTAATAAGTATAAATATATACAAACAGTTTTATAAAAAGTGTATACAAAAACGTATTTTACAAAAAAATGTATACAAACACCTATTTTATCTATATATTTTTTAATAAAACCGTGTTTGTTTACATTTTTTTTATAAAAACGTGTTTGAATAATTTTTTATATAATACGTGTTTGTATATATTTTATAAAATCTTGTTTGTATACATTTTATAAAATGTATACAAATAAGATTTTATAAAATATATACAAACACGTATTATTTAAAAAATTATTCAAATACGTTTTTATAAAATGTATACAAACACGATTTTATAAAATGTATACAAACACGTATTATATAAAAAATTATTCAAACACGTTTTAATAAAAAAAATATAAACAAACACGATTTTATAAAAAAAATATAGATACTCACCTATATATATATATATATATATATATATATATATATATATATATATGTGTATGTATAAAGGTGATAGATGTTTGTATACATTTTTTTTTGTAAAAAATACGTTTTTGTATACATTTTTTTAGAAAAACGGATTTGTATATATTTATATACTTAATAAATACATATTTTTATAATTAGATATTTCATATACAAAAAAGTTTTTGTAACATCCCTAAAACACAGTCTGAAAATTTCGTTATAAATCAGTAATAAACCATAGTCATCATACGTCATAGAAAAATCATAACAATGTATCTCAAAATAATATAACAACTGTCATGTATATCAGAGTATAAATATCCCAGGCTGAACAAATGGTGTATGCACTGCAATCTTCCCGAGCTCCTCTTTTGAAAATTGAGTACCTGAAACCAAAACTGAAAACTGTAAGCACGAAGCTTAGTGAGTCTCCCCAAACTACCACATACCATATAATAACACATATTGGGCCTTGCCCACTGCATCGGGCCCCGCCCGGCATCAGATCGAAGTCCGGACTAACTTGGGCCCCGCTCACTGCATCGGGCCCCGCCCGGCATCAGACCGAAGTCCGGAATAACTTGGGCCCCGCCACTGCATCGGGCCCCTCCCGGCATCGGACCGAAGTCCGGAATAACTTGGGCCCCGCCCACTGCATCGGACCGAAGTCCGGAATGTACTGAACATAACAAAACATAAACATATAACATAATCATATATACTACATCGGGCTTGCCCGACATCGGACCGAAGCCCGGAACATATAACACATAACACAAACATTCATGAATCACAAAGACATCAAGCATACATAACTACTTCTCGGGATTTCCCCGGCATCGGACCGAAGTCCGGAAACACATAACATATAACATGTAAGCTAAATCACTGCATCGGGCCCCGCCCGACATCGGACCGAAGTCCGATACTACTAACATCTAAACGGGCAGGCATTGTGGCCTTAGACCCGTTCCTACTGGAAGAGGACTCACCTCACACTGCTGAAGTCCTGCTGACAAAACCATAGCTGCTGGATGACTGATTCCCGATCTGTCAATATCGAAATAACACCCAATTAATAATTGGGTTCTAACACTTATCCATAAGTCCATGCTTGGGGTAAAAGACTACTTTACCCCCTAACTTTGCTTGACTCAAGCCCAAGGCCCAATCCAAAGGCCCAAAAGTCTAATAATGGACCAAGGCCCAACTATGGCCCAATTTTCCAAATTGGGCCCAAACCTCTACATGGTCTTGCCTTAAGGCCCAATACATTTATTCTTGGTCCAATACTTGACATTCTGATGGTCCTATATCTCATAATCATCAAGGCCCAAACTATGGCCCATCTATGGCCTAATTTTCCAAATTGGGCCCAAACCCTCTTATGGGCCTTACCCTAAAGCCCATTAAAATGTTCTAGTCCATTTGCTTGTTCTTGGATGGCCCAACACAAAGCCCAAGCGAAATTAGGGGTTTCACATCAAATGATGATTAGGGTTAAGTGTTTCTTACTTAACCCATTAAGGACTTAGTCCATTAAGTCCTTTACTCTACTAGATAAGTGTTATGGAGTGATTGGGCTTAATACACAATCCAATCTCAATGGACCAAGAGTGGGTCCAATAAGTCTAAGGCCCAAACACTCACAATTAGGGTTTTCTAAACCCTAATTAGGGTTTCCACCCAACCATGGCCCAATAGGCCCAAAAATTAATCTTTAAGCCCATTAGGGTTTTGCTAAGTCCATTAGGGTTTGCTAGTGGGGCACCACCCACTACCACCTCGGGTAGTGGTGGTCAACGACGACATATGGCGACGGCCACCACCTTACGGTGGTGGTTATTATTATTTTTCATTATTCGATGCTAATTACAATTACAAGGCTTTTAATCCAAAAATAACCCACACACTCTAACTAACACATACACACAGCCACACCGTGGTGGCCGGCGGTGGCGCTTGGCGGCAGCCACCACCTCACGGTGGTGGTGGTGGCCTTCTTGGTTTTCCAA